CTAATCACGGCATAATTATACAAGGTAGTCTCATTCAGTCATATGCATTCAGCATTCAGCTTTCAAAATTTAAATGAAAATATCTTCCTTCGAAATGTACACATATCTTGTGTTCAGTGCAAAAATTGCTAAATCATTTATATTTATAAATATTTTGAAGTTCCCTAACTCTAGAACTTATATATATTTATATATACAGTGGTGGTCACAGAATTAAAACATTTACTGTGGTATACATTTTTTGATCAGCCCTGGATTCGTCATGAAATTTTTTTAATTCAGAACACTTCGATATGTAGCACTTAAGAGATTTAGTGTGAAAATAGAAAATTATTCCATGCAATTTTTCCATACATAACGGTTTTTATGAAAATACATCGACTTTGAAGTGGCCATATAATTAAAACATTGTGTGGGATTTTTTACTTTACTGCATTTTTTGAAAATATTTTTAGAAAAGCTCTTTAATTTAGTTAAATTATGTCAAATAGTAACTGATAAAATCATTTACAGATATTTTTTTTTGAAAAAATCTGTAAAATCTATCAAAATTGCCAAAAATTTGTACAGTACACCTTACATTCAGATAATCACTCTTATTATAGAAAATAAAGGTCCGAATGCACCAGAAATTGCTAGAATTTGTAGAAAACAATAAATAATTCTCAAAATAAATAAATATTTCAAATAAAAACTCAAAAAATGGGAATTAACCTAAAGGAACGATTCAATTTTAATAGCCTTTACTGAAGAAGGCCGGAATATTTTTGCAGTATGTGAGAAAAAATCGATTGATATTGGTATTTATTATATCAAATCGACTATTCGAGTATTACAGAATATATTTTATCAAAAAATATATCTGTCAAAACAGAACGAACAGAGATCAACGCATAGGTTGACGAGTAAAAGTTTCTGGCACATAGCAGTATTTTTGATGTTCAACACAAGACTTCAAATATTTGTCAAACTGTAAAATTTTTACTTCCTTGATACGTAAATAGATTAAGTGGAAGTTATTCGATTCAAAAAATATTATTTTGGAAAAATATTGTCATGTTCAATAGATTTTAAGTGTCATGAGTTGACCATCAAACATGCTGCTGTGTGCCAGAAACTTTTACTCGTCAACCTAGGCGTTGATCTCTGTTCGTTCTGTTCTGACAGATATATTTTTTGATAAAATATATTCTGTAATACTCGAACAGTCGATTTGATATAATAAATACCAATATCAATCGATTTTTGCTCACATACCGCAAAAATATTCCGGCCTTCTTCAGTAAAGACTATTGAAATTGAATCGTTCCTTTAGGTTAATTCCCATTTTTTGAGTTTTTATTTGAAATATTTATTTATTTTGAGAATTATTTATTGTTTTCTACTAACGCTAGCAATTTCTGGTGCATTCGGACCTTTATTTTCTATAATAAGGGTGATTATCTGAATGTAAGGTGTACTGTACAAATTTTTGGCAATTTTGATAGATTTAACAAATTTTTTCAAAAAATTTTATCTGTAAATGATTTTATCAGTTCCTATTTTACATAATTTAACTAAATTAAAGAGCTTTTCTAAAAATATTTTCAAAAAATGCAGTAAAGTAAAAAATCCCACACAATGTTTTAATTATATGGCCACTTCAAAGTCGATGTATTTTCATAAAAACCGTTATTTATGGAAAAATTGCATGGAATAATTTTCTATTTTCACACTAAATCCTTTAAGTGCTATATATCGAAGTGTTCTGAATTAAAAAATTTTCAAGAATACTTCAAACAAATCGAGGGCTGATCAAAAAATGTTTACCAGAGTAAATGTTTTAATTCTGTGACCACCACTGTATATATAAGTTGTAACATCAATGGTTAAATTTTGAGAGCAATGTTCAGCTTTAATTGAAAATATGCCAATCGACATACATAATTTCTTTGAATGTATTAAAAAACATAAGTTCCGTTCCAGAACCTCAAAGAATATACTAATTTAACAAGTTTTGTAACTTTTTACTCCAAAACCGTTGAGAACACAAAACAAAATGGAGTTCTCTTTGTAAATCTTTTTCTTGAAAAATTTGTCAGGGCAAAAATGTTAAACAGGTATACCAACTTCTGATTGGCTGTTATGTTGATTTTGAAGTATTGTCATCTAATTTTGGCATAGTTCTAGATTTGCGTTCCCGAACTTTTCAAATTATTTTGTAGTCTGAGAGCGATTTTGAAATGTTTCCCTTTTACTAGCTTTACTATTACAGAAGTACTGGAACAGACCAACAGCAACGTACACAGGATTTCATTTCGGGGGGGGCCCGGTAGTACAAAATTAAAAAATTCGCTGTTGCAAACATAAATTTACTGTGAAAAAAATTAAAATCGGGGGGGGGCCCCCCGGGCCGCCCCCCCTGCATACGTCCCTGCAGACCAATAATTATTTATTAAAAATTATTCCTTAATAAAATTGTTATGACAATACAACTTTTGCCGAGTCTGTAATTCTCTCCTTGTTTATTCAAACCACAAAGTCGTCCTTATAATTTTCAATATCGTTTCGTTCCATTTATATTCAAGGGGCCCAAACATGGTACAATTATAAAAGGTAACAGTAAATCCCAGCTGATTTGATTCCAACGTAATACTAGTGTCAATATGAATATGACAAATTATGTTTTTAAAAATCACCCAACAGGAAAATTCGGAGCGCATACAATTTGAAATTGTTCATTATTAAATATGCTCCCGTATTCAATTTACTCAATCTGCCTGCTGGGAAAGTTTGAGGAAGCACATCTTTCTTCATGGAATAACTCGCAATTCCCGGCATTTTCATATGTGTTACACAAATAGCTCAATTATATAAATTTGATAGATGTTCATTCATGTTTTTCAAATTGTATTTTGAGGATTCGAAAATATTTCATTTTCAAAATAAATATAATTTATTTGTTTGTTTACATTTTTCTGTCAAATGACGTTGACACTAGTATAACTTACAAAAACAAATTTCCATAGTTCCGTCCCAGAACCTAAAAGAATCTACTCATTTTACATGTTTTGTAACTTTTTACTCGAAAACAGTTCCTCAACCCACAAAACTGGGAAAACATTGACTCCAAACAAAATGGCGTTCTCTTTGTAAACTTTTTACTCGTGAAATTTGGTCGAGTAAAAATGGTAAACAGGAATGCCTACTTCGGATTGGCTGTTATATTGATTTTTAAGTATTGCCATCTAATTTTGGCATATTTACTAGATTTGCGTTCCCGAACTTTTCAAATTATTTTGTACTGTGAGAGCAATTTTGAAATGTTTTCCTTTTACCTTCTATTATTATACCATGGGGCCCAATTCTTATGTGGCGAAAGAAACTCGCCTTCTTCGTTGAAAATTAGACCAAACTGAGAGCAGATGTATTTCTGCGCCACCTATGTTTCATATTAGTATTTAGCAATATTTTCAAGAATTTCGTTAGGTTTTGGAATTTTTAATATTAATAGCAGTAACCGGTTTTCGTCTATACTAAATCAACTAACTAACTATGCGTACAAAGATGGTGCTGTCATAGAAAAGTAAATATAAAGACGACATGTTAGTGTTCTCTTCTCTGCGTAGATGTCAGCTGATGGTAATGCAATAATAATGTCCACTTTATTGTACAGATGTCGCTCGTTAAGTTTTTGCAGCCTCAATTTACAAAATTCTGTTAAAATTGTTTCTCTCTAGAAAATCTAGAATTACGCATTAAAAACATGAAATCAGTATTGTACTCAGTTTTTATAGCGTACACATATCATGGTCCCGAAATTTGCAGACAATTTTTTAATACAAATCTTTCTCTCGTAGAGAACTACGGATATAGAATTCCAGAAGCATACAGAGACAAATCTCAAGATGAGTTTTCCTAGCTTTACTTCCGTTCTAAATCGTACAACTTGACTGGCTTAAGTGTATGTACTATTATACATGTGGTGGTATAAACCACCCCTTTATTTAACCTAACCTTCTTAATTTGCGTATGGTAAATAACCAATGGGCTCGATACAACATAGGCTAGTCCTGTGTAAATGCACCTAAAAGGATTAGGAAAATAAAAACCAAGCTCAAGCCAACTTTCTATGCACACCAGCATATATTTATATCTAAAATATTATATTAGTGTCATCTATGTCTGTCAAACCCATCAAATTACGCCCTTGACAGTTGATCGAGTCATCAGCTGCGCTAAATGGACTACCTATTTATTGTTCCATGATACCGCTATTATATATTGTACTGTCGTAACGTATTTTATATATTTTGCAAAGTTTTAATTTTCTTGAATGTTAAAAATGCTCGATTTAAAAATGTTTGACCACGGGAATGGTGGGGGGTCCCCTTAAATGGTCCTTGGCAAAATTTAACCGCTTTAGTTGGTTTTCAATTTGAAACAAGTTGATTACGGTGCTATCGTAAGGAGGCATATATTAAAGGTCTACGCATTCTTATGGTTCAAAATATAATATATGATTATTTTTGATTATTTTGATCCATATATCGCTCGCTACCTTGAATTTTGTGGCCTTAGACATCCTCTTCGACGGATCGCCGATATGATATTGGCACCACTGTATGTCCTAGAGTTATGTCTCTCAAATTTAGTTTAATTAAATACTCCTCTTTATTCAACCAAATTTTCCACGCAAATTTGCTGTAATCTGGTATTATTACTTGCTAAACTAGTTATCATTTGTTACGGATATATCGAAAATTAAAGCACATTTCTATTGTTGAATAATTTATAAAATAACTACATAATCACGTAAAGCTACGATAATTGCAGCCCAATGTTTTCAAATTGCATTTAACGGGTCATACAATTAAAAGGGTCATGATGAGTCACAAAGCGGTATAAAAAAATAAATAAATCAGCGAAGCCATTATTAGCGATCAAAGTACAATTGTGTATAAATCACAAAGGAAATTAAAAAAGAAAAGAAATTGTTGAATTGAAGGAGTTTTAGAGTTTTAATTTTTATTTCCCGTCAAACCACCGAGGACCTGTTTTACAAAATTATTTAGTTCCAATGGATCTTCGTTATTGAAATCATCCATGACTATTTGCATTTGTTCCTTTAGGCCATCCGATATTGAAGTCGTTATACGATTTTTGAAGAGGTTCGTGATGGGACTTAGGATAACACCTGTCAAGTGTCGAATGAATCGTGTTTGATTCAACTGGACTTGTATGTTTCTGTAGGAGACAGTAATCATTAACTTAAGAAATTAAAATTGCATTTCATATCCTTGACTCACCTGAATTGAATAACACGGAAATCGTGTAGCTTCATTTTAAATGTGACAATATCGATTGACAATTCTGCATAAATAACGGTGTCCTCTAATGTTCCAATTACCTTGCCATATCCCTCCAAGGCCATTAGTTTGAGCAGAAAATTGTATTCAAACTTGGAATTGCACAAAGTGGTCATTAACGAATAATGCATAAACAAATTTATTTAACATACCTGTAAACTTTTGATATTTAAATAGAAGCGCGTCAAGAACGCTTTATCCTTATAGGTCATGTAGGCCGGACCATAACGTTGTATTCCTGCCAGATTGTAGACGATACCATTTGTTAGAAACAATCCCGCTTCATAAGTTATTAGGAGAGGCTTCTGAAACAAGCAGTGTTGAAATATGAAAGTTGCCTCATTCAGTACTAATTCTGAATTACCACAGTTAGGTTTTCCTTTATGTCGGGTAATTGTAAATCTTCGATTCCTATTTTTTGTAAATGCTGTAGAAGCAATGGTATCACGGTATCGACTTCTTCATTTATTGTAGACCATCCGATTTCATCATCGTCTTCCCTTTTGTTTCTTTTTATCAGCGAAGTATCTTTATTGGATTGCCTTTAAATAGTCAAAAGTTAACAAAAACAAAAAACAGTAAGCAAAGTATTAAAGTCGGACGTGGCCGACTATATAATACCCTTCACCACTTTGGGTATATTCAACAGATAAATCCTAACAGAATTCGCAAGACCAGTAAAATGAAAAAATTGCACCAAACTTCAAAAGTTTGTCCGATCAAGACACTGACATGAAATCAGACAAACTATTTTTAACTATTTTAATCAATACACATGTCAATGCGAAATATATCCAAAATTTCCTGTCTTAGAGTCTTTTGTGTAACATTTGTAGGAACCCGACAAAAATTATGTATAAGAACTATAGTAAATCTGGTTAGATTTAAGGTTTGATTTGTGATTTGGGGGAACTATTGTGGAATCAAACAAATCTATTTAGAAGATACAGTTAACGCTCGGTATAACGAATACTCAGTTTAACGAATTCTGGATATAACGGGCAAAATAGCCGACTGAATGGGCAAAATAGCCGACTTTTTACACTGAATACAGCATATAACGAACGTTTTCCAAATTTGTATACTGTGTGTAATGAGTCTAACAATATACATATATTTTTCATTATACCAGGCGTTGACTGAATATCTAAATCTGAACCTTTTCAACCGATTATGAAAACGAAGAGAAGACCACCGAAAACTTCTTCTGTTATCAGTACAAAGTTGACAACAGTCATAAGTCAGCCATAAAGAGCGGGTTGGTTTTTCTCGAAACATCCTTTTTTAAAATAATGCCCTAAATGTGACCGAACAAATTTCAACTTACCAGCTTAAATCTGACGCTGAGGTAGTAGTCACAACAAACAGCACTGTTGTTATTATAACAATATTTAAAAACATTTTGTACCCTGGGAACGTGATATCGTCATTTAGTAATTATTTCAGTTATATATGCCTGTGTTGACACTGGAATCACCTGTGAGTATATAAAAAATAATAATAAAATTGATGATTTCACGGGAATAGAAATGACAACAAGCTATGAATACAAATTGATCAACAATGCACCATAGTTTACAAAATCTTTTTATACATAGGAATATAAAAACATTATCTTTTATATATAACAGAATTATCAGTTACTATATACTTTGATGAATTCATGGATACGTTTTTTTGTATGTTTCGAAATGAGTATAATGTGCGAACTTCGGCACTTTTTAAAACTCAACTTATATATTTGATTTTAGGAATTCTGTTTTTTTATAATTAAATTATTCAAATAATTATTCTGGTTTTTTTTAATAATAATTGATAAACGAAATTTTCTCAAAACTTGTCTATAAAAATGCAGTGCTTCCGCATTGACAAAACTTGTAAAACTGATGTAAGAAACAATCGTTTTCCTTGTCCTAACTTAAACTTGTACTGAAAGTGAGATTAAACGTCTATAGTCGAGTCAAACATACTCATATACTGTGTTATGTATGTATGTATGTCCATACAATACAATAATCTCTCTTTGAAAATCCCAACCATTCGAATCATACTTAGTTTTTGTAGGCACTGATAATTACATGTGCAAAAATCAAATGTTTATATGTGCGAAAATAGTATGGCACTGTACACACGAATTTGTTACTGTATTTTAATTTTCAAAAATCTCAAACAAGTATTTCATTTGATTTGTAAGAAAAATCGATAAAACATTTCTGATGAGAGAAATGAAATGTTGCCCATAGTTGATATAGTCTTCAAAAGTCTTGAAAATCCACTTCCAGCCGACAATGTTAAAACTCGGTTTAAAAAATAACCTAAAACAGTTATTCAAAACCTAGTTAAGGGGTTTCTACTACCATGATAAGCTTTCAAATTTTGGCGATTTTCAAGATTTACTGCTGTACTGTGTTATTGAACATTTTAAAATAGGATACAAATGCCAAATGGCAGGTTTCTGAAGCAAAATATCAAATTTTGAATTCATATATTTGAATAAAATAGTATTAGGTTCATAACACTTAGGTTCATAACACTTTTAACCACTCAAAAATACAAACATTTCAAACTGGCAACGCCTCATCATTACATACTGTTAAAGTAACCACTTCTTACACTGTAAAAATTTGTAAAATACAATTAATTTCGTTCGACATTTTAACACCGGAGCAAATGTACGTACGTATGTCTAATCAAATAATACCAAAAAGACACTGCATGACTTTTGTAGTCGTCTTGAAAACAATGTGCAACATAACCCTCAAGTATTTTGCATCAAAAGCGATTTCAGTTTAGTACCTCTGTAGTGTTATTCTGTAACTACTTACAGACAGAATTACCGACGATTGTCGATAACTGCAAATTTTCATTTGCTTATAATTTCGTTAATTAACAAAAATATTCGGCAATTTAACGACCAATAAAGAGTAGTCGTTAAATTTTAGTTTAAATATGCAAAATATAAGTTACTACTGGTCCCCTATCTAGTAATCGATTAGGTATTAAAATAATGTGCAAAATCATGTCCGGGTGAGCGAACATTTTACGATCATCTTAAAAATTACTTTTGCAGACTAAACTTAATACATCACATTGGCCGAACTTAACACATTTCTTGTTATTTAAAACAAAAAAAAATATTTTTGACGTTTACGTTAATTTTCGAGATTTTATCTATACAAACCCGTATGGTGTATATTTTTTATACCCTTCACCACACTGTGGTACAGGGTATTATGTCTTTGTGCATATGTTTGTAACAGGCAAAAGGAAACGAGATAGACACATGGTTCCTTTTGAGAATATGCATAGAATCACTTTCTAAGTCGATTTATGCATGTCCGTCCGTCCGTCTGTCTGTCTGTCTGTGCATGTTAAATTGTAAACAAAGTACAGGTCGCATTTATGATCCGAATTGGATGAAATTTGGCATAGGTCACTTATTCGGCCCAAGGACGAACCCTATTGAAATTGGGAAAAATCGGTTCAGATTTAGATATAGCTCCCATATATATATTTAACCGATTTAATGTAAACAGTCCCTATATATCATTCGATTTGCACGAAATTTAGTACAGCCTAATCATTTAGGTCTAGAATTATGTCTGCCAAGTTTCGTGAAAATCGGTCCAGATTTAGATATAGCTTCCATATATAGTTTCGTCCGATTTCATGTAAATGGTGCACCAAAGTCCCTATATATCTTTCGATTTGCACGAAATTTGGCATAACGTACTGAATTAAGTCTAGAACAATGTGTGTAAAAATGTGTGTTAAATTTCCTGAAAATCGGTTCAGGTTTAGATATAGCTCCCATACATATTTTCGTCCGATTTTAGGTAAATATTGCACCAAAGTGCCAAATTTCGTGCAAATCTAACGATATATAGATTTGCACGAAATTTGGCATAGCGTACGGAATTAAGTCTAGAACGATGTGTGTAAAATTTCGTGAAAATCGGTTCAGATTTAGATATAGCTCCCATATATATTTTCGTCCGATTTTAGGTAAATAGTGCATCAATGTCCCTATATATCCTTCGATTTGCACGAAATTTGGGATAGCGTACTGAATTATGTCTGGAACGATGTGTGTTAAATTTCGTGAAAATAGGTTCAGATTTAGATATAGCTCCCATATATATTTTCGTCCGATTTTATGTAAATGGTGCAACAATGTCCCTATATATCCTTCGATTTGCACGAAATTTCGCATAGCATACTGAACTAAGTCTAGAATGATGTGTGTTAAATTTCGTGAAAATCGGTTCAGATTTAGATATAGCTCCCATATATATTTTCGTCCGATTTTGGATTTATAAGTAAATTTGGATTTATAAAATCATACTGAAATAAGTGTAACCTATATTTCGATATTTCGCTTTAAATTTATTTACATTATTTTGTCCCATCGTAAGAAGCAACTCTATACCTGACCAAAATTTAGTATAGGTTGCAGACTGAGATGTTTAATTTCATGTTAATGGTTCTTCAATAATGCGACGTCTGTTAGGATTCATCTGTTTAATATACTTTACTACTTTCCTTACTGGTTTTGTACAATAAATCATGGCATAATTATACAAGGTAATCTCATGCACACATATATTTCCAATTTCTTCATAAATTTGCCTTGACAGTATTCAGCTTTCAAAATTTAAATAAAAAATATCTTCCTTCGAAATGTAATAATATACGTGTGTTCAGTGGCAAAAATTGCTAAATAATTTATATTTATAAATATAAATATTTAGAAAATATATTTTGTTTAATTTACCCTCATATTCTAGAAAATGCTTGAAAAATGACAACGCCGCCTTGAAAATTTATGGGTCGATTACGGATGGCAACCACGGTTTAGTTGCGTTGCCAGTTGCCAAATTTGCATTATGGATGGCAACTGTTGTCAACTTCAGTTGCTTCAAATAACTGAACTTTGTAGGTTAACATAATGGTTAAAATTACTACAAAAGAACAATTTGAGTTCCTTATTGCCCGGATGGAAGCTCACCCAAATGTAGCACGCGGCGTGCGGACTTTTGGTCAAACCAAAGCCACTATCGATGATGTGTGGAAGGCCATTTTAGAAGACCTTAACTGCTATGGCCCACCAACACGCATTCCAAATGAATGGCAGAAAGTGGCGAACATCTTCTTTTGGGTCCATGATATATACGTGTGTCATCAATACATCCGACAACACCCTGAAACTTAGTTTTCGAATAAAAAAAAATAATATTCTCACCTTTTTCCTCCTCCGTTAATTTGGAACAATTAACATTTACACAGTTTTTCCTCTATTAGCCGGATAAATTCGGCTAATTTTTTTTTTTTTTTTTTTTTTTTGTTTACAATATTTCTAGTTGTAGAAATGTCAAAACAGTATTATCGACAGCAACTGAGAAAAGTTGATATTCATAATATTAAGTTTTATTTCAATTGCGTTGCCAGTTGAACTCGCAACTGGAGTTTGGTTGCCTTCCTTAATCGACCCATTAGTTTGCAACTACAATTGTGTTTAAATAAAACAAAAAACGTGTGTTTAAATAAAACAAGTTAAAACTATGTTAAGTTCGGTCCGGCCGAACTTTTTTATACCCTCCACCATAGTATGGAGTTTTATTTTTTCGTTTGTAACGCATCGAAATTATCATTTCCGATCCTATAAAGTATATATAGCCTTGATCAGCGTAAAATTCTAAGACGATTTAAGCATGTCCGTCTGTCTGTTGTAATCACTCTAGCGTCTAAACGAATTGAGATAGAGCCCCAAAATTTTGTCTGCAGGCAGGTCAAGTTCGAAGATCGGTCCACGTTTAGCATAGCTCCCATATAAGGGTACCTCCCAATTTTCGGTATTTTGAGGTTCTTGAGCGTGTTTTTCCACCGAATTCGCTGAAATTTGGCACTTTGAGTTCTTATTGGGTAGCAAATCTCCCCACAAAGAATTATAAATATAGGTCCATTTTTTCGGACAGGGTACCCCCCAATTTTCGGTATTTTGGGGTTCTTGAGCGCGTTTTTCAACCGAATTCGCTGAAATTTGCTACATTGGGTTCCTATTGGGTACTAAATGTCTCCTTGAGCGCGTTTTTTTAATCGAATTTGCTGCAATTCGGTTTTTTGTAGTCGTATATGGTAATAAATCTCCCTACCAAAAATTGTTAATATTCGCCCTCTTTTTGGGGTAGTCCCCATATAACCCCCTTTTTATATTAAAATATATATCTGATTTGTTCCGCGTTTTGAGTTTGGTTCTTAGACTCTGTTGTAATAATTTCTCCTGCAGAGGATAGCGAGATAAAAAATTATAACGTATGGTTCGATAATGAACTATAGCCGCATTTACACCTAGCCCCTGTGTGGAGGTTCCAGAAGGAGTGGACCGATATTCCCCATCTTTG